TTACAACTAAGGTCCTTAATTATAGAAGAGCGGAGTGTGTGTGTGTGTGTGTGTACACATGCATTTGTGTGTGTGGGTGTACCAGTGTGTGAGGGCAGGTGAGAATGGAGGAGAATGTGTGTGTACACTTTTACACGTGTGAATATGTGCAAGCTCATGTGTGTGAGGGTGTATAAGAGTGCGAGTGAATGTGTGTGCACACGTGTGTGTATGTGTGAGAGTGGTGAGGGGGGTGTGTGTGCACATGTGTGGGAGGCATATGTGAAGGTGTGTGTATGCATGGGTGTGTGTATTATCTCTCCAGACTGTGGGCCCCTCTGGGGTGAAGGCTACTATTTTCTGTCTCTCTCTCTTCCTAACTGAAAGGTAAGCACATCCATGTTGCTGCAAATGGCATTATTTCATTATTTTTTACGGTTGAGTAATATTCCTGTGTGTGTGTGTGTGTGTGTGTGTGTGTGTGTGTGTGTATACACACACCCCCCCACATCTTTTTTTTTTTTTTTGCGGTACGTGGGCCTCTCACGGTTGTGGCCTCTCCCGTTGCAGAGCACAGGCTCCGGACGCGCAGGCTCAGCGGCCACGGCTCACGGGCCCAGCCGCTGCGCGGCACGTGGGATCTTCCCGGACCGGGGCACGAACCCGTGTCCCCTGCATCGGCAGGCAGACTCTCAACCACTGCACCACCAGGAAAGCCCCCCAGCATCTTTTTTATCCATTCGTCTGCTGACGGACATTTAGGTTGCTTCCATGACCTGGCTATTGTAAACAGTGCTGCAGTGAACATTGGGTTGCATGAATCTTTTTGAATTAGAATTTTCTCCGGATATATATACACCCAGGAGTGGGATTGCTGGATCGTATGGTAGCTCTATTTTTAGTTTTTTAAGGAACCTGCATACTATTCTCCGTAGTGGCTAGAGATTATCATACTAAGTGAAGTAAATCAGACAGAGAAAGACAAATATATGACACTGATTATATGTGGAATCTAAAAAATTGATATAAATGAACTTATTTACAAAACAGAAATAAACTCACAGACATAGAAAAGAAATTATGGCTACCAAAGGTGAAAGGGGGCGGAGGGATAAATTAGAACTTTGGGATTCAAATATACACACTACTATATATAAAATAGACAACCAACAAGGACCACTATATAGCACAGGGAACTATATTCAATATCTTGTAATAACCTATAACGGAAAAGGATCTAAAAAAGAATATATATATATATATATATATATATATATATATATATATATATACACTTTGCTGTACACTTGAAACTAACACAACATTGTAAATCAACTATATTTCAATTAAAATTTTCAAAAAATTTAAAAAAGAAAGTCACACTTAGGCAAAAAAATTAAAAAACAAAACAAAACAAAAGTAAGCACAGACTATGAAGCTGATGTACAAAGTGGTTATAAACGGGTAACAGAAATGTGGTAACTGAGGCACATTGAGGTCGCATTGCTTAAAGTAAGTGTGGTATGAGGAAAAGCATAGTCCGGCAAGGAGATGAGAACTGCGGTCCTGAGAGTGGGGGGCTCTTCCTGGATCCCAGAACCTATCTCACTGCCTGGTGCGTCGTTTGTACACAAACATGTTCAGCCAGTGGCGAGAGCCCCTGTGGATTCTGCACATCCGCCGTGCTATGCTGTTCTAAATGCTTTGGCAAATCTTCCCAGGAATTGCCAGGCACAGAGAATGTAAGGAACACCAGCTGGTTAGGGTTGGAGATGTGAGTCAGCATCAGCAGGCTAGCTCTTCCTCTTGCCCACCACGAATGGGGGTGCTGAGGGCAATTCTGGGATGTGGCCACAGAATTCAAGAGATTCTCAAGAGCTCACAGGATCCAACTTCCACCTTTAAGAAGCATAACAAGACCTCTAGCCTATTTCTGAAGCTCTCCAGAATTAGAGATTCTCCAACTGCCTTAGTCTCCCCAAGCAGGCTCCTTCTTCTAAGCACAGATAGGTCAAGAAGACCAAATGAGCTGCCTCATGCCAGCAGCTGCCCCATGCACGCTGGCTCCCCAGTTCTTAATGTCTCCTTGCTTCTCCACAGGTTTGCCAAGCTGTTGCTGCGCCTCCCAGCCTTGCGCTCCATCGGCTTGAAATGCCTGGAGCACCTCTTCTTCTTCAAGCTCATCGGGGACACACCCATCGACACCTTCCTAATGGAGATGTTGGAGACCCCACTGCAGATCACCTGAGCCTCACCAGCCACAGCCCCCTACACAGGACTAGTCAGGGCAGGTGTGTGTGGACCACCCCCCTGCACACGTTCCTCCACCCCCCCACCCCCAACCCTTCCTGTTCCCCAAATGTGATGCTTATAATAAAGAAACCTTTCTACACATGCGACTGTTATAGGTGGAGTTTTGTATAGATGTTAATGGTAACCCTTCTTTGCTATTTAGGGGGCTGGGGATCTTTCTGGAAGTTCTCGGGAAAACTAACCAAGCCTCTGTACATATAATTAGTTTAAATTAGTTTAAATTATTTTTTCACTTGCATTGGAAAGCCAATGACCAAATAATAAAGTAATATATGTGATATTGGCACTGCTTGGAGCATGGGGTGAATTATTGTGCAGCAGGGCAGTTATCTCAGATGTGGGAGGAAAGGTATGGGGGGTTAGGAATGGGGGATGGGGCTGGGGTCCTACAACAATAAATCCCACAGTTAGATACCCCATGTCTAAGCTGGGCGCAGCTAGCTTTGCCCTAGGGTAGCCCCTGGAGAGATTGGGAAGAAACATTGTCTTTCAGAGCCAGCTTGGTTTTTTGTTTGTTTGTTTGTTTTTTGCTCTTTTCCTCCTAAGAATAATGAGTACTAACAGCCTTGTCCTGACTGGGGGTAATGGAGTATAAGGGCAAGAGTATATGCTCTTTTTTTTTTAATTTTTATTTTATATTGGAGCATAGTTGATTAACAATGTTGTATTAGTTTCAGGTGTACAGCAAAGTGATTCAGTTATACATACACATGTACCTATTCTTTTTCAAATTCTTTTCCTATTTAGGTTAGAGAAGATGTGCTTTTGATGGGGGAAGACACGGGTCCTAGGAGTTGGTGGGAGGTGGTAATGGGTTTTGGTAATGGTAAAGGAATGGATTTTCTGTCCTTAACTAGCAACAATAACAAAAAGACCAGAGTGCACCAAATTTGTTTTCCATCATTATCTAACTATATGTAGCCTGTTCTTAACAACTTACTGACCAGAGACGTATTAATACGTCTTTTGTTACCCAAACATTGTTGACCGGAGTGTTTCAATATTCACTTACATAACAAATTGCTGGCCACAGGCATTAGTTTCTGCAAAAATCCCCCGGTCAATAATGTGTTAAAAGGGGAAGAGAGAGGGCTTCACTGGTGGCGCAGTGGTTGGGAGTCCGCCTGCCGATGCAGGGGACACGGGTTCGTG